GCCGCCGCCACCACCACCACCGCCGCCGCTCAGCATCTCTGCCAAGGCGCAGTTTACTCTGCCAGCACTGCCCTTGCATCCCAATGAGGCTGCATGCAGGAAAATGGGCTAATGTTACAGCCTCTCATCATGTATCCGGGGATATGAGCTCAATTAACTCAACATAAGCACTGTCAATGGGGATCAAAACAGATACAGGCCTTTGTATTCAGCTGTGTCCATAATTACAGTTTACCAAAAAAAAGAAGCAGTATTCGATGTGATTGATTGCTTTGATGTTGAATTTCTTTGTTTCACACCTCATTTTTGCTGGTGATCCATCTTTTAGTGTCTGTACCGCACCAGGCTGGGGCGTTAGGGGTGATCTCGAGAGCCAGGAATAAAACCAGAGGATGCTCCATCAATTTTAGCTTGCTACACTGATTTACATCTCCCTGGCAGAAGGCGATTCATGACTTGCGGAAAAATATCCAGCACTTCTCCTCTATTTTTTTTTATTTTTATTTTTTTTCCCCCCACATATGGCTGAGGATCTATCACGGCAGATCTAATCAAGAGGCTACCGGAAGAATCTCCTCCGATCACATTTAATCAGCGAGCTTGTATATTTAATGTGAACGTAATTAGAATTAGAATTAGAATTGAACCTTAAGTAACAGGAAGGTGTGTTGATATTAGAGCTGGTATTGATGAGGGAGCTGCAGCACGTGCGGCTCTTTCACTCATGAGTTGTTATTGTAGGTTACACACAAACACCTGGCAGGAGGGAAATCCATTAGAGAGCCTCGCCGGGCGTCTCTGGGATCGGTATCATTCTAAGCTGTGATGCTTTTGTCGCTTTCAGATCCATTTTTAAGTTTCTTTGTGCATTCGTAAGAGGTCGATGGCCCATTTCGTAACCCATTTCAGAAATGAATAACTATTATTTTAAAGTAACGTGTTCACATTATCTCACCAGCAGTTCAGAATAAAAGCATTTGGAAATCAAAGCTGAGAGCAGCGATTATTGGGCCCTCGGGGCGTGCTGCGGTGGATCAAATGACTGCCACACAAGCCTTACTTCCTGTTTCCAGTAGGTGACGCTACTACTAAAACTGAATAGGAGCATGTAGATGTGTTCAGGGCGGGACTCTTATCAGACATGTGAGGTTTGCTGGAAATTGGACAAAGTAGGCTGAAGTAAGGACAACTTCCTTTTTCGTGGCGATACGTCTGCATTCAACGGCAAGCCACAGAACAACTTTTCATTGTGAAGTTCTTTAGAATGCACTGCCCAAATCTGAAGTCAATCCGATCAAGTCTCTAGGAGGAGTTCATTAAAATATAGAGCATGCAAATCACCAAAAATGACCACTAAATTCAAAAAGCTAGCAACCTTGATAGCTAATTCACATCAACTGTTATTTAACTAGTTAACTAGTGTTTTACTAATATTAACTAACTGAAGATGTCACTTTGATCTTTTAAACATCTTCAAAACGTGGTTGTATTTTCATTAGCACACAGCGTATCTAAGTACAGGAGAGCGTTGACACAGGTTCCCCTACTGTATAATAGTTATTTGATCAATTATTAATATAAAATATGAATTAAACCAGCCTATAAAATGGAATCAGAAAACAAAGAACCCGATAAAGAAGTCCTGACACAGTCCTGAACCCACAATCCTGTAAATCCATAACCTCCATTTTAGCAGGTGTGTGCATTGATGTGTGTGTGTGTGTGTGTGTGTGTGTGTGCAGTAATCTCTGTATTATAGGCTTCCTAAATACATGTTTGCACCCCTCTAGCATCCCTAAGCTCATGTTTAAGCTTCCATATCATTTACTGTGACTGTAAGGCGGCTCGGTTCATGTTGGAAATGGCTCCTTTTAAACAAACCCACTGAAGAAAACAAACTGTGGCTCCAAATCACATCGCTGCAGCGGAAAAAGGACATTATGATCAAAGACGATTTATATCTCTCACTGTTTTTTTTGGGGGGGTTTGTACATTTTAGCGTTAGTATAATTATCGTGTGATGGTTTATTAAACGTGTCATAGTCAACTCCAGTGGGTTAGATAGCTGCTGACGTGGGAGCTTAAACTGTACAATCTTTAATCTCAGAGGCATTGTGTCTCGCTGTGTTTTCCTACCTTACATTGCTGCTGACCATTTTCCAAACCACATTGTGGTGATTTGGGTGTTTGAATGTGTTTTCCTACCTGTCAGTCAGCCTCTGTTTGAATTTATTTCACTACGGTATGAAAATCAACTTGAAACAGAGACTTGAAACATGCTTGATTTGTGTATTCCACCATGCTGTCACTTTGCATGCTAATGCAGCTGAAAGAGCAGATTCATCTGGAAGTCTCGACTGCATTACCATGCAATGATCACTTTAAAAAACACACACGGTTCGTTTATTTTATCTCGTCTTACTGTCAGCAAATCGCATGAAAACACAGAAACCAACAACGTGTCAGCCCGTTTCATTTTAAAAAGGCTCAGTAAGTTACAGACACAGCTGGGTATTGTAGTGTTTACCAAACTTTCCTCAAACCGGAGGAATCAGTGCTTTTCTTGGGGACTATTTTCAGCTGCAGATTCCTTCACATTTGGTGCTTTTTTGAGTATTTGGGGCAGCGAAATGTGACTCAGAATAAACTACAGTGTGTGCATTCATGCTAATGAAGGAGCATGTCACCCAGTGCCACAGTGTGACTCATTTATGTGGTTTTAATAGATTTTGGACAACAATGGAGCTCTATGGCACAAACGATATTTATTACTCGGGTTGATTTATTGGTAAAAATATCTATCAACCAGCCTATTATTCATGTGTGCTGCAGCAGGAGCAGCCAGTGGTTTGTAGTGACTTACAGGCAGCCAGTGGGGGGGTGAGGATCTTGCTGGAAAAAACCCACAGAATTTGTAACTTGCTCTTCAGAGGCTGAAGTAATTTCCCTATTGGCTCTGAATTTCTGCCTCTGCGCTTGCGCACAGAGGCTCGGTTTAGGGGAAATGAAGCACTAACCGAGGGGTGACTGCCGCGTTTAAATAAAAGCACAAGCAGGACGAGTGAGTGAAATAATCCCCTCTTTAAACCAGATAGGAGTCGTAGTTAATCGCAGACTGCTCTCATCAATTAAAGGTGTATTTGTGTTTATTTTTGAGGCGTCACAGCTGAATTCGTGTTTCGGCCCACCCCTGTGAGCCGCGGCGGAATGGTTGCGCCCAACGGTTGGCAGCCTCCTCCTCCTCCTCTCTTCAGTGCTCGTCTTAAAATGAAGCTAGCGAGTCGGAGGCACCTGCGGAGGAGACGGAGACCGGGGACTGAAATGTAGAGCTGGTTTCTACTTTTCCCACCGTTTTAAAAAGATATATATATTATATATATATATATATAGAGAGAGGGCATTCATGAAGAGCCCCGAGTTATTAAAAGTACTATTATGTCGGAGGGAGCAGCCGCAGCCCGGTGCTTGCAGTACACAGTTCGTCTATTTATTCCAGTCTGAAGCGGGAATTCAGATACAACACTTAGTAGTTAGATAGATTTATCTAATCTTTTTTTATTATTATTATTCTCGTCGTTTTGTCGCATTTTATAAGGTTTTTTTTTTTTTTTTTCCTTTTTGTGGAGAAAAAGATTTTTTTAAAAGGCGATGTATAATACAGTTTGGACGTCGGAGAAAGCCGGTGAGGAAGGAGACTGGCGGGACGTGATGATGCCGTACTCCACCGAGCTGATATTTTACCTGGAGATGGACCAACCGCCAGGTAAGAGGAGGAGGAGGAGAGGAGGAGGAGAGGAGGAGGCCTGTGACAGCAGGAGCATGGAAGTTTTGTCTGGAGAGAGAGGAGGTGTTGTGTTTGGTGTCTTGTTCAAATTGGTGGAAAGTTATTTGTTACATCCTGCTCCTCTGGGTCGTGTTCCTCCAGGGATTTCACCTTTTATATATTTAATTTTCCAGCACAAATGTCAACGCTTTAAACACATTAAACGTCTCTCTTGCTCCCCTGTGTAGCAGAGACTGCACGGTTATATAGGGTCGTTTCTGCAGCTGCGGCTCTCTTAAAAAAGAAATATATATCTTTTGGAGACAATAATCTCATGCAGTCTGCACACAGAGGCAGCCGAAACCTTCCTCTGACCATCTGCGTGTAATGTGATGTGATAAATGAATGGAAAAAGATGGCAGACAGCGCAGCCGAATTCATTTGGCACTAAAATGCAGAAAATGCAGACGGAGTTCGGCGCGGCCCCCCTTCGAAACCTGCAACCAATTCCTGCAAAACGTGCACATTTTATCTTCTTTTCAGTCTCACAAGACGACTCCGGATCATCCCGAAATGTACCCGGTGCCGACAGTGGAGAAACGGGAGAGGGGGGGATGGGACAGAGAGAGAGAGAGATAGAGAGAGAGGGAGAGAGAGACTGGAATAATGACTAAAAGCTCCGGAGCATTTCATAATCATAACACCCTCCACTGACACGCATCTATGAGTCTTTGTGCCCCTTTCTGGCCAACTGTCACCCAGAATTGAATACGTTTCATTCATTCATTCATTCATTCAATTGTGCTAGTGTCATTTGACTCCCACCCCCCTCCCTCTCTCCCTCTCTCCCCCTCTCTCCCCTCGGTACTCTGAATGGATGATGGCGCAGATGTGGGACGTTGTGTTTGTTTCCAGGAGGCGCTGTTGAATGCAGTTTGCCCGGTAGCCCTCCCCCAGCCTCTCCTCCTTTCTCTCCCCTGATGTACTGTATATTCTGCAGTAAAGTGCAGCATTATGTCTTCAACCTTTAGCTGCAGACTGGATGCTTTTCTTCACTGGAGGAGGGAGATACAACCTGAGCTGTGTGCTGGAAGTGGACTGGTGCAATATATATCTGCTCATCTAAAGTTAACGCCTCCTTTCCTCCCTTTCTCTCTCCGTTAGTTTAAAAGCAGCCAGCCTTGTGTCGGCGCTCCAGACTGGCTGCAGGTGATTCACGCACTCAGCTGCCTCTGGACCTCTGGACCTCGGGCTTTACAGCATCCACAGCCGCTCGTCCATTCACCAGTAAATGGTGTCGCTGTCACGCTTTTATTTTGTAGGAGAAACTCAGCTTTGTGCTCATTAGGTGTTGTCAATCAAAAGGTGCATTTTAAATCTTCCTGGTGCTTTTCTCCTGCAGCTCACAGGTGTGTGTGTGTGTG